GGCATGCTAGTGCGCACTACGAACCCTTCTATAGCCTCTCCCTCCCACGAACCCGTCTCTGACACCTGATCCGTAAAGGCGAACAGCGTCTTCAATGAGTGAAAAGTCTTCCATCGGGGAGGAATGAAACCCCAGGCTTGGGCAAAAGATGCAACGACGTCCATGGGTTCTGTAGAAAAGTGGACAATGTTGTGGTTGAGACCGTGCAGGTGCAGCCCTGTCCTCGAGGGAGCATACGCCAACACGTGCTCCTCGAACGAGTCATCGCACAGCTGCGAGGCAGCAATATGGGTGTTCGTTCAGTGAAGTGATGACCGTGCTGGCTGGGTGCGGATCATCAGTCAGTCCGAAGCTCGACTCACCTCGGCTACGGCAGTGCAGCGTCTATGCCACAACTCCTTTGCCAGCTCTTGCCTCTTTCTGCCCACCCTTTCCAAATGCCTATCCACCCACGCTTCTCCAGCTTTGGCATGGCTCAATTCCACATCATCTCGATCGCCTACGGAATGCTTGGAGCAGACTACCAGCTGATCGGATGTCAGCGCAGAGATGAGAATGATGCAGCCGTTTTCCTTGAATGTGAGCAGATAGGGTGCTGTGCTGTGCGCTTCTAGCGAGGGACGCTGTAAAGTCATGACGAGGCAGGACAGGACAGGACAGGACAGGACAGGACAGGACAGAAGGTGTCAGCGAGAGTAGCGCGACTGCCGCTCTGACCGGGATTCGTCTTTGCAGCTGTCGATGCTGCTGCGACGGTTGATGAAGGACGACAGACAGTGCCAGCGGCTCGGCTCACCTTTGTCCATCGCATCTCATCGACATTGAAGAATTTGTCGTAGCCTCTCGCTACTATTCTCTCTCTCTTCTGTTCGCCTTTCCCTTGCCATTCCATATCCGCAGCAGTAAAGAGACCTCTAGCAAGCGTAGGGATGTCTGCATCCTCCTTCAGACCGACCACTTCCACCTTGCGATATGCAAATTCGCTCACTTTCCAACTCGTCAAGATGCATTCTGACGTGCGTGGCGTGGATGATTTTGTATTCGAGTCTGGGTGTGAGCGAATGTGTT